TAGGTGTGTTGACTGAGTAAAGCCACTCCCGATCATTCTGTGTTTCACTATTCGGTGTTTCACCTGAGCCAGGATGTGGAAAGAATCACCCAAATCATGCAGTCAATCCTGTCCTGATGACTTGAACTGGGTGTAGTATCGTCATACGTCAGCGCCTATCAGCGATAGTAGAACCCCCCCCCCGGCCCTTGCAGCGGCTGGGCCGTGTCGGCGGAGAAATGAAAGCATGTCTTATTAGCCAGAGTTTCTCCATTCCAAATTCTGTTTATACAGAGAAAACTACTCAGCAGCCTGGTACCCTACTTCGCTTTTACCAGGAGCGGATCCCGGGGGTTGATCCCCCCCGCTCTGAGACCAAACCAACAAATCAAAAGGTTTTAACAATTTGGGAACACACTTTTTTTTAATAACTAAAGTAAATTTAAAAACAAGATAGCATTGCGCAGATTCTTCTCCTTATAGCACACTATGAGTGTTACAAATAGGAGACTAAAATAAATTACTTATGGTTACATACATTTGAGCTTACTCCCATGCTGTTAATTAAGACTGCGCAAAATGGACCTTTTTTTACCAATAAAATTCCAAGTTTATGGCGCATGCACGAAAATGGGGCAAGGCCCAAAAGCGATTTATGGCCAACTGAATATGACCTTAATAGACAATGCACCATCGCGGACTGAAATGTGGGCAGTGCTACTTGAAAGTCGGCAATACACATAAACTGAATTATAACTGGAGGCCTCAGGGGCAATCCCGGTTCCCATTCGACACACAATACGGATGCATACCATGAACAATACAGGGATACAGGTTGTGCCATTTACCGTGGTACCTATTGTGCTATTGCTTGCAGTTGCAGCCCCACTTCTGCTTCACCGGAGTTCCGACATTGTTTTGTATCAAAATGGTCTTTCATTATTTTTCCCTGTTTCAGCCACTTTCAATGATTGTTCTAAAATAGCATCGCTGTTTGTTGTATAAATTTACAAAAATCTTCGCTCCGGTGCAATCTTTAATTCTGCACCCCCCTTGTATACTTGTATAATTGTGGACTGTTATTATTTCCCACTTTCCTTTTTTGGTTATTATTTGTTTATTTCACATTCAATACGGGAATACGATTAAGTACGATTCACAAAATCTGTCGACCTAGTGCGCGATTGGAAAGGGTCGACAGATTTCGCGCGTCGTGATATGCCAACGCGTTGCAAACTCTTGGAGGCACCCTACTGTGAATCGTATTTATGTTCGTATTATTTTTCAATCGCGGGCCCGTACTGTGATTGGTCAAAAGTTGGAAGCCACAGTTCTAAGCACTTCGAAGCCCGCCCTCAAATGCAAATAATGGATAGAGGGCGCTATCGGTAAAAAAAAATTCACCAGCTGCGTGCGTTCAGTACTTTACCGCACGTCGAGTCGGACGCACAGTTATACTTGTTGCGCATTGAAATTTGAACGAGTGATACCATCTCTGGTCATGGCAAAACGTATTTTATACTTTTCCAAATTTTAGTTTGTGGGATTAAATAAATGCAAAATATTAATGACGCAAGCTCCGTCCAAGTGCAACAAAGACTTTACAACACCAATGCACCACGTCCACTCTCGTCCCCTCGTGGATCGTTCAGGAGTTTTATCAACAAGAGAAGCTAACGTTACAACTTGCACAAGGTACATGTACAACTTCGACGGGCTAATAAAAAACCTAGGCTACGCAAATTATTTTATTGTTGATACAGGCCCACCTGTTGGGCGTGATCTGCACGATTGTTCTCTTTCATTCCCAAAAGTGCTTTGTGGCGAATGGGGTCTATTGTTATTCCAGGCACGTGGATGGAAGATTCCAATATCTTGATTCCTGAGACCCCTTGTATGTATGATGAAGTAGGCCTGGGGACCTACATTAAGACCAATGAATGATATAGGCTAGTTGGCAAGTTCAGACTCGGAGCAATAAGGTTTGTAACCTCAACCTTTGTAAAAACTACAGCTCTAGACATTGGCGGACCAGGGAGCCAAGCAAGGGAACCATGTGCCTCACAAAATGCACATGTACCTGGTGGTACTCATGTACATGCACCCAACAGCGACGGAACAGTTTTAAAAGTGGAGGGGGGGGGGAAGGACCGGTCATTAGACTGAAAAGAATATAGTTATGAAGTTGCAATGTACCTTCAACAGCTGGTAGGCCTACAAAGTGGGATGGGGCAAAATAACTGACTTTTATTTTTTTGACCGAATTTTATCACAATGCACTGTTCACGATCTGAGCTGGTTGTGTAGTCCTCAAGCTTTCTTGGATATCCTTACTTGCCAAGACAGAGCACCACCTGCCAAGTATGCCCGTGGCAAATCAGAAATGACATCCGCAGGCAAACCCTCCCAACAGGGCGTAAAGAGCGCGCTGCGGGGACCTGCTTACACTACCTACATGCCCCAGGGTTTTTTTTCAACAGGCGCCTACTTTAAGGTGTAGGATGTTTGTTTTCATAAGGCATAATCCCAACAGAAGAAAGGTTTTGGATCAGAAGTGGAAATTGTTTTTAATTGTCATAAAGTGGGAATACTCAGTGACGTGACTGTGCCCACTGAGATGCTGTGGGAGGCCTGTTACTGTTTGGCCACTCAAATGTCATTGTACACTTACAACATCTCTGACAATATCCCCTGGGGAGTTCTGACCAAGGGCTGGACAAGATATTGCAGGAATTTGTCATTGAGAGGAATGCCCACAATTTGTGGTAGGCAGAAGTGTGTTTTGAAAATTCCCATGTCCTGCCTGTGGGGGATTTTCTCAAAGTCTCTGTGGACAAAAAGCTGCAGTTCAGAGCATTCATATGAGTTGGTGAAAGATTCAGAAAGTTGTGGATGGAGTGGTACAACCTCTGGTCTGCTTTTGAAGTGGTACAGTAAGTTCTCAAATTAAGAGGGATTGGAGCCAGTCACAGTCATTATATTTGCCTGGCAGTCTTTGGAAAACTATGGCTTGCTCTCTGTAAAAAAGCAAAGGTGCACTTCATCACACATTGTAAAAAATCTCACCAATAATGTTTACGTGATATACATGTATGTCCCTCTTCAGCAAAATTAAATGGGGCAAGTGCCCTGTGGAAGCCAAACCTGTTATCAACTGGCCTCCCATGGCTTCCCATGCAGATGATAGACGAAAAGAGAGTTCTGTTGGTAGCACGTGGATCCTGGGGCAAGATGGGCTCTTGCCACGCTAAGGGAGCCTTGCAAAAATAAAAAAAGAAGAAATAATAAGATGAAATGAAAACCAAAAAATAAAAGGGGTCGAAAATCGCTGGAATACTTAAATAAAAAGAAAATCAAAATTGAACCCCCCACTCTTAATAATTTATCACATGTAGTTCGCCGATGATGAGTGCTTTGCCTGCCTTCCCCCCCTCCCATACCAAGCCATGGAGATAAGACATGATCGGAGTTCAGCATTTACTGTATTAGGTTTGTCCTGAGTCACATCTTTCAGTATTGCTTGTAGTTATCTGCTTCCGAGCCCATTTGAATCAAAGAATCTCCACCTTTTGAGTTGTTTGTCTGACTTACACCACATCCCTCCCTTCACAATTGTCTATAATTATGTAAAGTTCAAGAAAACAACAGGTTTTTACCCATACTTTGATCCCTGAGATGAATTTGATCCATTGTCAAGTGTTGGCTAGCTATGTGTGTATGTGTACATCTTCAAGTACGTAAAAGCTTTGCTCCTGGACCAAGCCATTAATTAAAGTTCTGTTCGGTTGAGTGCACAATTATTTTTTTTCTTTCACATGCAGAGCGCATGCTTATGAAGTCACACACAGAGCTAGAGATGTGCAGTCAGCACCAACAGTGGATCGTAGGGTGCATACACTGTCTTCATACCAAATGATTTGTAAGTTAGTTGTGGAGGTATGCTCTCAAGTTAACACATGCTATCAATATGACTGAAGTAAGAAGAAACGAACAGAAACAATGTTGTACTAGTGTACCCAACTCTCAAGAACATGGACCCAACTCTCAAGAACATGGACCCAACTCTCAAGAACATGTACCCAACTGTCAAGAACATGTACACTGTACCGGTACCTCACTGTCAAGAACGTTTCTTATTGTTTGAAGTAATAATTTGATGTCACAACTGCTTTTTCTATGTCTATCAAGTCAATTTTTATACATCAGCTGTTTTTAAAGAATCTACTGTCAAGTGTACATTCTTTAGAACAATTGACACTTCTAAATAGCATGATATCACGAGAGCGCTTTAAAAAGACGGAAAGAGCAATTACAGATAGTTTAAAAAGAGACGTTTTCTTGGTATTCTACTAGACAAGTTTCTGGTTAATTAATGATGTTTTGTTGCTTTCAAAATGTCGGACAAATAGAGAAACTCCAGTCAGCAAGCATTCGATTAGCTTCCATTTTCTCAAGTTACTCATGAGCTGCATTTGAGATGTTGCATGACAGGAATAGATCTAGCATTTTTTGGGAGAGGTTGTTTTGTCATCTGACCTTTAGTACCGTAGAATCCAAGCGAGTATTTATGGTAAAATGTTGTATGCTTCAGGGTGCTGTGTGCATTTCACATCATTCCGTGTACACAAAGTTTTTATTTAAACCCTACATGTATACCCCGGCCCCGGTAGCTGATGCAGTCCCCTTGCATATGCTTCAGGCAAGTTTTCTACATGTTCATTTTTTTTTTCAAAACAACTTATTGAAACTTGTTCAGGATACATTCCTTCAGTCAGTGTTGAGTAAAGTCTGGGTCCCTGAAGCACCTTGGCTTCACTTTGTCATCCAATCACTCAGCTCAATCACAGACTTCCTTCGAAACTGGCAGGGGGGCTAAGGACCCACAGTCAGAGTCAAATTGCATATTTAGCACCCTCGCAATTAGGTTTGTTACTGCTGGATTGGGTTATTGCACGGTTACCTTTTTTTCAGTAGAGTCTGTTCTTGTGACGTTTCTTGTGACGTCACAATTATGTTTTTCCTGCAAGAGGCCGCTAACACTATAGTTGGCCATTGGTACAAAAGTAAAAGAACAATTCACGAGGTGTTAAAAATCCCACGCAGCGATCAGAAAACCAGATAAAAATACAACACTAATAACTAATGAATGAAAATAAAACCTGTTTAAAATTAATGGGACAATTGTTCATTTTGATCTGATTGGAGGTGAAATCAAAAACTGACCAAAACCTGACATTTCTGCAAACTTTGGCCGTCCATACATGTTGAAGGCAAAAGAGAAAGTGGACTATATCACAGGTCATGAATATCCAATAGTAGTGTAATAATATTTATCAGTCTGATATTTATATGGTTTACCTTTGTTGGTCTCATGAGCTGATAAGGTATTGTTGCCTTGCAGATAGGGTTGTTGTAACATTCAAGGAAACATGTACCCTAGCTTGGCAGAGCTGGCTTAGGCCTACATGTATCAAGTAGCTCTGCATCACTGTAAGAGGAAAGTATTCATGCATACACAAATAACGGTACATTAAATGGTTGTCGGTTTACAGTTGAATTGTTTTCATCTGACAGTTTTTATCAACTGAAAATAAAACTGTTTTTTACATCACATTCAGCCCACATTTTTTTTTCTTCTTGTGGAAAGATAGTTGCATTAGACCTAAATTTATTGCACTAGGGCATAATCATTAGCTCACATTTCCTTGGAAACTCTTAATGCACGATGTACATGTATTTTGTACATATTCATTTTGTAATACCTGCAATTTTATAATTCTCCACTGTTAAACACAAAGAGCTTTTATATAATGTTGGGATGTGAAAAATGTGATTCCCTTTCCAACCAAAAACAGGACAGATTTGACAAGTGAGAAACTGGTGCATTATTCAATTTAGTACAGTAGGGATACCCAATGAAACTGGTACAGGGAAACACCTGAGGTGTGAATAAAACTCAGCAAAACTGTCAGAATTGAAAGCACTCCCAATTCCTAGGGTAAACCCTCCATGCTTGAATTTTCATGGCACCATGGTGTGGTAGCCACAGGCGCCGCCTGTGCATTAAGACCCTGGCTGAAAGACACCTCTTATCCCCTCTGACCTCTCTAGAGGACATGTCTGTGGCCTCAACATGGGGACATCCCTACCCTCATCATCCCCCAGGCAAGCCTGCCTTCTCTTTCTACTTCCCTGACCTGCCCTGGTGGTCTGGTAAAGTTGATCACCTGTTGTGCTGGGTGTAAGTGTTTCGACCCCTCAGTATCTGCATGACCCTGGGGTATCTGCAGGCTGTTTGGGGTCTTGGCGGGGCTCTAGTTTGTCCAAACCATGGAGGAAGGAAAGTTGTTTTTCCTTCCTTCAAGTCCAAACATTGCACAGAGATACATCTGGGATCTGGGTGTACTTAATTCACAAAGTCACAATTCCGTTATTGTTTATATGTCGCCAAGGAAAATGCTGAACAGGAAAACTTGTTTATTTTCTAAACACGTTCTTTGTTCTGTTGTATAAGCAAGTTGTTCATGGTTAAAACTGTGTACTCTATAAACACTGGATTATAGATTAACAACTGCTGAACGATGACGTTCTTATTCTTTGTATTTTGGCAAGTTTCGGACCCTGGTGGTCCAAGAGGCTTAATGACTTACATGCAACCTGTGCATAAGAGTGATATGCAAGTACATCTGATTCTGATCATCAACTTGACCCTACATGTAACACTCCTCAGTCCTTCACCTGTTGGAGGATTGAGGACTGTTAGGGTTAATAGATGACATGTGGACTGTACATGTAGTTGTGCTTGGTAACATGTTCCATTCTTCCTTATCTGCTACTCTTGTTAATTCCTGGATATTTTGTTTTCCCATAATTTTGGCATATTCAACCGGTAACTACCGGTACTTTCTTTTTCCTTCTTCTGTTATGATAGTGTAGGTGCAGTCCTGAGGCTACGCTGGTTTTCATGATTTCTCTGTACGCTGCAAGGGTGGATCAAGAACAATTTCTTTTGGGGGGACAAACTTGTTTTGGGGAGACCTATTTTGACCTTATAATGCCCACATTTCTGAGGGTTGAGGGTACATATTGCACACTTCTGGAAGGGAGGGAAATGAAATAGACTAAAAACGATTGCCTTTCTCTCAATAGGCCTGTTTCCCCTCCAAGAAAACGTAGCTCCTTTTTTGGAGGCTATAATGGCCCCTGTTGGCACCCCCACCCTTGATCCGCCCTTGGTGCGACGGGCATCTTTCTAATTTCTCTTTGACAATTTTGAAAATAATGAAAAATGAAATATACATGTAGCAGTGTTTGATCAGTACAGTGCTCCTTCCAATCGTGTGTTTGCAAGCTGCCGTCTTGCAGGCTGTTGCTTTTGTGCCAGTGGGTGTACACAAAGGAGGCTTGGTTGTGGAACAAAAGAACTACCCTGCAAAATGGCCACCACGCAAAGCCTCAATCAGGATGAGCTGCAGTTGTCAACCCCCACCCCCAACACCGCTTCCTCGACCCCACCCCACCCATCTGTGAAACCACCTACGCATCTTGTTCGATCGATAATCAAAAGGTTTTTCATTTGCAGAATCCAAACTGTCCACTGACATCCTGGATGCATACATGGAGATGTCTCACGGGATGGATCATGCAGGTCAGAGTGTACAATGGCCTCCAAATATGCAGATAAGTATTGTAACAAAAACTAAAAGGTATGTGAGTAAAAGTCTTCTAGATTGAAAAAAAAAAAAGATACTGAATCCTGAATTGATCGTAACTACTGTACTCACTGTGTGTATGTCAACTGCATGTACTGTACATGCATGTACATGATTTCTGTGTGTTGCACTGCACAGTAGCCTCTAACATGGCTTCAGTGTTAATGTCTGATGCAGCAAGAGTGGATAAAGGCCCACATTTTCAGGGGGCCAGAATTGTCTTTTCGGATTCCAAAAATTGGAAATTTCTTTATATGTAACCTTGAAAGGTTAAAGGTTTCACATAGGTTACATAACAGTGTGTAACCTTCGGAATGATGGAATGACATTTTGTACAACGGAATGACATTTTTATACATTTTACCATTTAAATAAAAAACGGTGCCGTGTAAATTATGTTTCTACTAGTGAGACAGAAAAGTAAATGTTAAAAAAATACACTTGTTCAGTAGTATTCCATTACTAACCTCATTAACATTCATAATCAGAATGGTAACAGTACCAGTATTTAAGAGTAAAATTAAACTGAAAGTGAAACTTAAATTTTGAGTTAGAAGTAGTAGGCCTACATTAGTGATCCCTTTTCTATTGTACTAATAAAAAGTATTTACTCATCTTTTGGTATATCTCAAACCAAAATTTGAGAATGATTTCCTGATGTCTTGATATGTCATCGTCTTTAAGATTTGATGAATCAACCTCACTAGCACGTTGGACTGACCCATTTTTGTGAATCATAAACTCATGCACTAGTACCCGTACACTTACATAAAACACATAGTTCTCTAGAGAGTTGGCGTCGTCCCTCATGCATGCCATTCATGTACCAGTATGTTGACTTTTTTGGACAAAGCTTGTCTTTGAAAAAGGCACAGAAAACATCGTCCCTGTGTTTTCCAGGCAGCAGTACAAAAACCCGTCTGATGGTGTGCAGTTCATTCAACTCCATGTTGTTGACTTGTCAGAATTGCCATCCTGGTGGGCAGGATGTTTCCTTTCAACATCTCTCTGGGTAGATAAATAATCACACCATGCATTCTTGCATGTTCCGAGGGCAGAACCACTTAGCCTCTGCTCTAAATGTACTCCGCACCCTCTCTCCCCCCCCAGAGTTCTTGATGTTCAGCGTTGGAACTTCAGTGTGCCAATATTAGGAGTGGAAGTTGTGAAGTTGCCAACTTTCTGTGCAGTAGATTTGTGATAACAAACACCAGGCATGTCCATGGATTGAAGTCATTGTACATGTACATTGAAGTACCATAGTTTGCTAAATGTGAAACACCCAGGGGAATCATCACACAGATGGATGTAATTTTTCTTGATGGTGATAACTGGTGATGTCACATTTCACTGAAAACACATTTCTTGGCCGAGCTTGCCATTTTTAAATCTGTGATGCCAATATAGAGACTTTCAGGTTTTATAATGTTTGGTAGATAGGCCTAGACATGGGATTCATAACTGGCCATCGATTGAAAAGTGACATTATTTTGATTTAAAATTCTTTTTTTTATACAAAAAAACTGTGTAGATGTGGATAAAAATGATGAATTTAAATACAAATCACTTTGATACACATACCGGTAAATACCTGTAAGTCATACACCGTAGGCTTCACCCTGAAGTTCCTAATAAACATAGCAATTAAGTTGGACTAATATTTATTAAGAAATCCCCTCCCCCATCCCAATAAAACAAATGCCCGTGTGTAAGCATCTGACCTTTCTCTACTTTTGTCAGTTAATCACCATGCAGAAGTTTTGTCATGTTTTGGGCATGAAATGGGTAGTTGTTGTTGTTTTGTTTTAATGGCACTTTAGCAACTCAGGCTATTTGTGCCAATAACTGTACGTTTATTCATTCACTTTATTAATCAGCATCACATTACGGAGTTAGGAAGAAGGTCCAGTTTTACTTTTAGAGGCAGGAGGAAACCGGAGTACCCGGAGAAAACCTGTGAGAGCGAGTGTGGACCGGAAACCAAATGCACTTAAAGCCTGGGCCAAGCCGTGAAATGGGTAGGACCATACAGTGACATTTTATTGGTGGAGGGGTAGCAACATGCGTGGCCTAAATTTGAGCTGAATGAGAACACCTGTTGGCACAGAAGGTGCACAATGCATTTAACCCTTCAAGGGGGCAATCTCATCCTCATTCCCTTTCCATCCTCTGAAGTGATCTGTGACTTGTACACTAACAATTGCTGGAAGCTTTGAGGTCATTTTGATAGAACTCCTCTCAAAAATGCGGGTTTAGTCGGATACATGAGCATGGAGCAGTGGCGCACTCCATGCTGCTTGAACAATTTTGAGCAGCGTTCAAATGATCAAAGATTTCCGAGAATTCAAGCAGCATTTTCTATAATAAAGTTCTTGTAAAAGATTTCTACAAAGAGTCATGAAGAAATTCCGAGTGTTGATCAAGAACTTGCTCCCCACAATTTCTAGTTCAGGCCCATGGCTGAATTGTGGGTCCACTTGTCACAGTCCTGCTTAAAAAATCTGAAAATGGATGGTCTCGAAATTTGCCAGGAAAACTGAAAGTGAAATGGTCTCTGCCAGCATGTGTGTGGTAATAGTGTCTATGTACTCAGTGACCTCAGTGTTGTTAAAATCCAGCCCTTCAGCAATCTAACATTAGTGATGTAGTCCATCAAAGCAAGAGTGTGTAATAACATCTCTTTGGGGCTGAGAAGGCTTTTCATCAGTGGTGGTCTCCCCACCAGTCCCTAATGTGCAGACGAATTAAATCATTTATTTTTTTCAACCGGGGAGGGATGTTTCAGAAAGAAATCCATGAGTGCCGTTGGTTTCATGACTCAGTGACCTTTAATGTACATGTACTTAACTGTTGAGATGTTTCGGGAGATTGATCAAATCAAATCATCGTGAATTTGGCGCATTCTGGACATCGAAACGTGTAAATTCTGCCATTTCCATCTGAAGGTGCATTATAGTCTTACAGGGTGTGAGATTACTTGATATGGGGGGGGGTCCTAGGTAAAGTGCAGTATATCTTATTATCCTGTCTTGACCACAGAGATACCTTGTACATGTATTTTAGGGTAGGCCTAATGGAGACAGACTTCTTAGAATGATTTTGTTTTCCCCACATGTCAAGCCTGGTTGCTCTGAGACTAGTGTCCTGCGATATGTCAAATCTATGGGGCAGTATCCATTGCAGAGACCTCAGACCTGCAAAGGCGATGTGAAGTTCAAGGCCTGTCAATTTAATGTCATGCCCAAGGATGCTTCCCCAGTACTCAGAAAAATGTCTCAGGCAAGGCATTAAAGCTATTTTAGCTAAGCTGTCAACATTCACATGCAGGATGCAGAGTTATCGGTAGGTGAGTTCTAATGAGTTCTGATTAACTTGGCATTTTAATTGTGCCATCTGTAGCCGCTAATAAAGGTTCATCTATGTGGAGACATACCTCTCATAAATTATTGACTGGCTGCATGGCTAGCAGTGATCTTGGCTGTCCCATGTGAGAAATTCCCAATGAAAAATCCCTCAGACATCAGGCAGGAATGATGGTTTTGTAAGGCCACCCAAAGAATGTGAAACTTGGCCTTCACGGGTCATTCTAATCACAAGTGCGTGTAAAGTTGAATATTGTGGATTTATAATGTACATGTGTACATGTACATCTGCTTACAAAATCACACCAGTCACATTCATGTGTGCTGAATGCATTGTTTATGGTTGATTGATGCCATGAATTTCCACAAGTAATCCCATCACCCAATGGACGACAATTTAGGATGACAGTGAAATATGTATTTCCCCCTGGCACTGACCCACAGGCCCAGTGCACTGGTGATTCAGAGGCTGGATTTCCTACAGGGACAGAACCCAAATCTCAGGCTGTTCTCAGCGTGCCTGGCCCGTTCCTGGAGTCATTGGATTGTTATTGGGAAGGGGGCATATCGGCATCAGTCCCTTATCACTTACAAGCAAGGACTTCATTTGATTAGAGGGTCCTGTTTTGGAACTGTGCTTGGATTCGGAATCAAAATTTATAAACAATTCTGTGGCAGCTGAGTCGTTCAAAAAGTGGGGAGCAAGGGGAAGATCTTTATACCCGTCTCTCCGGTAGTGAGCGAGGGTGATGTAAAATTTCAGAAATTGGGGAACCACCCTCTTTGCTCCCTCACCCCTCTCCTATCCCGCATACCTGCCTGTAACTGATGTACGGGTTTATAGTTATCTCAGATTTGACAATTTGTTCAACGATGTGGGATGTGTCCCACTAATAGGACAGCTGGATGGGCACAAGACTCTAGCCCCAGTCACATTCTCCTCCACTCCCTTCCCCAGACCCTGGTTCTGTCTGTCTAGCCTGATCTTAACTATGATTCAGAAATGGAATCAGTCATATTGCATCACACCAGGCATTGCCTCTTGGGTCTAGGGGTCCTGCCTCCTGTTATTAGTGGAAGGTGATTAATTGCGGAGAAATGATTTAAGGGAGGCATGTTGCACTACGCCAACTGGTGGGATTTCAATTCTTCGCGGTCCTACCACACACTGAGAAACAAATCAGAGATGTACAGAATGTCATTTTGTCAATGTATCGCCCCCAGCAGCATTACGGGCGATGGCAAAAGACTGCAGAATGATGGATTGCTGCAGGTTTGATGAACAATTGTTTGCAGATGGCCCAATTAGACTCTAACTTCAATGGGTGGAGTTGAGGTTAGTCAAATGTGTCTCGCAGGTTCTTGAGCGTCAAATAAATCAGACAATATCCTTATAGACCTGTACAGGTTAATGTTGAATTCTGTGAATCTGAAGGCCACCCGTGACGACTCTGCCTCTCCCAAGGCACTGGAGGCAAAATGAGTGCATCTCACTGCACCATCAATCAGGACCTGTTTTTTTTTTGTACATTTCCCTTTTTGAATTGGTTAAATTTGATTGTCTGGCACTCCGTCTAAGGTGCAGCAGGCTTCGTGAATTCTGATTACTGTGAAGACAATCTCTGAAGCCTTCAGCAGAGAAATAAATCTGGCATGGAAACCTTTGTTCCTCTCTGTGCATGCTTCCCATTTGGAATAGATTGGACAAATTAGAATGACATTGAACATATACCAGTACTTTTCAGACATCTGTCTGTGAAACGGAATGCAAAATTCCACTTTCCTAATATGCTGACATTTCACAGAACTGGCACTTGATTATATGGACTTGATCAGTAAAAAGCCCCACTGTCTAGACAAACTTCTCAGATTCGTGCATTAAAGGTATGCTGGGTACCGGGTCAGCTGGAAAAAATCTTTTAAAATACATGCCTGAAAGAAACTAAATTTACACACATATGTCCACATTTTTTGGCTGTGGTACTTTTCAGCCCAGCATGACATTGGCTCCATAACCAGGTTCTCCTTTTTTTTCAGTGGTCTGGAATTTCCACCCCCACCTCCTAAATGACAACAGTTGAGCTGAAAAGAGTTGAGCAAAAAAAAATAAGAAAAACAGTGATTGTGTGCAGTGGCTGTTTTGGTTTCATAACCCTCCCTAGAGATTTGGAGTGTTTCCCCCCCCCATGAAGTATGGAAATGACGAATCAAGCTCGCTACGCCAGCGTTGGTACTGTACCTGTTCTTGGAATTATCACTGTTCCCATTTTTACATTGAGTCTGCATCAGTAATCAAGAGGAAGAAGAGGGTCCTTCACACAGACACAGTGACACGGTAGATTTAGTCGTCTGTCTGAGAGAGAGAAAAAAAAGCTGTATTGCCTGGTCAGGAAACGTTAATTGAGACGGTTTGATATAGAAATAAACTGCATGTATTTCACAGGATGCGAGGTGCCAGAGTCCCCATGTTTTCCGTTGACTGTCAGTCAGACTGACTGACATATTTTCAAAATGTGAAGTTTCAGTGGAGGCAAAAAAGTTGTCAAGTTAATATTGATGAGGGTGCACCTTGCAGGTTGCCAAGGTATTTGAAAAAGGGATCATTATTTTGGTGAAGTTCTGCAGTACTCAATCATCAGTAAGTGAACTTTTTAGATTTTTGTTTAGTTATGAGTTTTCGCAATTGTTTTATCTTCTTTTTTTTAAATCAAGCTTGGGGGGTCCCATGTGGCTCTGGCAAAGGTGAAACTTGTAGACTCTCATTTCAGTCTTAAAATCCATTTTGATTATCACAGATCCTGTGTTCCCAATAACACTTGAATCCAAGCCTTCCGTTGTTGAAAGAATCCAGTTAAGCAAATTGCATTCACTTACAAGTCAGTGTGGCACACTTTACGGTATTGAATGTTACGTGCCAATGTACATTGAATAGATGAAGGTACTGTGGCATTTTATCCCCAAGCCAGTCTAGGTTGTACCAGTTTATTGGGAAAGCCACCTCAACCTAAGCTCTGCCATGTCCCTTGAGTTTAACCAGCAAGGCCTACATGTTGTAGGAGTACATGTGTGTTGTTTTGGTGGAAATACATGTACATGTACCACTGATTAGTACTCGATGGGTGACTGTTGACTGACACGACAACTAACATGAATGGGATAACAAGAATTATTGGCAAGGTCAAAGGGGAACTGGTTTAATATTCTTCTGTTCATCAGTTCTCAGCAGTTTCTTCATTTACACAATTGGGTTTCAATTATTAGACTTATTATAAAAGAACACTCGAATAATCCATAGGAAGCTGCCAATAATCCGCACTCTTCACTGCAATGTCTATAATCTGCACTCTGCACAGTGTGGTCTATAATTTGGCCTACGCAATCCTCACGTGGGTGACTTCACTGAAAAATGCAAAATATTAGTGGATTGCAAGTGTCTACTCTGATTCTAGATAACAGGTACCTAAAGGCAACTACCCATTCTCTTTTTGTCTAGTCTCGAACTGCCTGCTTTATCAGTGACCTTCAGATGGAACTTGGCAACTAGCTCTTAATTTTACCCACGCAGTCTCTCTCAGAGTATGGTCTACTGTCGGTCCTTCCTATACCCTATTCTAGGAACGAATACAATTGACTGATGGAGTCAACCTTTGTGGATTACAATTCAGTATTTAAGCACTATTAAATCTATACCACTAGATGTTTAAGTCACTAAAACCATTCAAAAGCAGACTCCCGACTAATGTAGCCTAACGCTACTTGCGCAGCAAGGCACACGCTCCAGGTATAACATGAACTCACACGAGTCCTGTACTGCTGTCTACCATCAAAACAAGGGCTATTACACACATTATTACAATTACGCATGGGCACCAATAAAACTACACTGAATACAAATGATGTCATTAATACCAAACAAGCTATTTCCCTACATGCATTTGATTAATTCCACAGACTCTGCCCTTTCCAGTATGTGGCCTGACACACTAAGCACTTATGCTTCCTGGCTTTTATAAGTGCCTTCATCTTGTGCCATCTCTTCTAATTGGCTGGTACCCTGTCCACCTAAACCAAAAACAAAAGGAAACACCAAAAAATGAACTACTCTATTAAAAAAAATCCTAGTACAGTGTCTCTCTTTATAACTCCTAACTACATCATAAACTTTCTTCCCCAGCGATACTGCTGGGGAAGTCAACAAAGACTTTTGCTTGGCGCCTCGCTGGACTCTGTCTAGCACTACTAGATTTATTCTTACCGTGGTCCGCAGGGTTGCCTTCCTGACATCCTATGATCCAAAGTTTCATGACCACTAGCAGTTTTCATCACTTCATCTTGAAACGCTGTTTCACACTGTGCCTCTCCCTGTATTACACATTTCAGTCTTTTCCACTTGAGGGTTTTCTGTTGCCCTCTTGATGGAACTGACTCTTTAGGCTCTACTTTGCAAAGTTATGGCTTTAACTTGTCTACACGCACCACACAAAGTTGACGGCCCTGCTTCAGTTTGACGCTGTCTTCTACCGATACATCTGACAACTCCTTAACTATCTGCATTGTCCCTCCCAACGCATCTGAAGCATGGGGACATGTTTTTCTTTTTGGCAGGGTCATGCAGCCATACTAGCCACTCCTCTTTTAGACCTGCTGCCCCCATCTGTCACCTTTTCGGTCGTAAATTTCTTTTCTGCCTACAAGGGGTTCTAACTCAGGCACTGTCTTGCTCTTTCTTAGCATATTACTCTGCAGGTCCTCTGCAAAGTCTGTCTGGGTGTTCTCTGTGTCTGGAAACCCGTTGGTCAGATCTAAAGGAATGCTGACCTCCCTTCCCAACATCATCATGTTTTGGGATTCCCCTGAAATTTCCCTGTCAATTCTTGTGGCATGCACTGATACGCAAATTAAAGGTGGCATCAGGAGCATCTCATCCTATAGCTCTGCCTCCTCTTCAAATCACTGAAAACAGCCACGAAGTTGACTAGTGTCTCGCTAAATCTCATATCTATCCCATCTGATTTGGAATTATAAGTAGTTGTTCTGGTCGATGTCACCTAATCTCACTGAAAAGCTGAGATTCAAAATTGGTGCCCTGGTCTGACTGCAATTCTTGTGGCACACCAAACCAGCATACATACTCTTGCACTGTATTAAACTTGGGTGCTACTGTATTGACAGCGGAATCAGGAAGGGGATATGCTTCCATCTACTTTTTATGGCATAATCTCCTCTTACTAAAATCCACTGATTTCGACTGCCAATCTTCGGCAGTGGCCCAAGCAAGTCTGTGACTGCCCTCTCTATGGGCACATCCACTCAGTATTATGAGGACTTTCTCCTCTTAAATGAGTCCCTTTTGAACCTTGCACAGGTCTCCCAACTCCGCAGAAATGATGTGACATCTGTGGACATTCCAGGCCAGAAGATCTGTATTTCATTTTGGCCAGTGCCTTACTCAAGTGGCCACTGACTTGTCCACCCATGTATCTCTCTGAGGATGTCTTTCCTAAGTTTCTGCTGCAAAATCAATAGCCATCTGATCAATTTGACATTGTCCGACTCCCACCTTTTGTACAGCACCCCTTCTTGAACTGCCAACTGGTCCTAACTCGGCCAGTATTTCTCATAACTTCAGAAGGGTTCTGATGAGACACTCCCATTCCAGGTGACCCTTGCCCTTTTCTTTCTTTCTTTCATGTGACCCAACTCATGGTCTTGTCCTGAAGTTGAGCTCAGTCAACTCATTCCATGAAATCATTAGCTAGGCAACTATGCCCCTCACCAACATCTCCTCTGTGAGGGTATCCTAGGCTTCTTGCCTCTCCTTTCGACAATGCTTATTCTCTGTCTAAGTACCCACCTGTGGGTAAAAGGAAGTCCATACCCACATACCTTGGCACTTCATCTCTAGGAGGACTGCCTTGACTGGGTGCATGGTCTTACTCACCTACACACCTTCCCAAGCCACAATCAACCTGTCTCACTTGAACTTTCCCTGTGCCCAAGAGTGGTCCCTTCTCTTTGGGTGTTTGATAGTACATTGTATCACTGAGGAGTGTGTCTGTGGAGCATACTGTATGTAAATTAAAAACCAACACCTTATTCCTCTCACTATTCCATCAACTGAACAGTCCACCCAGGGGACCAAGATTGGCCACTGGAAGGGTTACTACCCTTTTGCCATCCTCTCATCTCTTCTCCTGTATATTGGCTGAGCTCTGTGACCGGGCCATCTTTTGGGCCCTCTGATGTTGCCAGCTCATCCATAGACCTTACTGGTGGCTTGACCCCTTTTTCCTTCTTCTGTGGTTGTTTATTAGGTTCTTGCACTCCCTTACAAAGTTGCCCTTCTCTCCCTAGGGAGTTTTTTTGATCTTGCATGGCAGTTTCTTGATTCCTTTGCCATTGGATCTCTCTCCCACTGCAGGAACTGGGCTTCTAACTTAAGTGTACTCTACAGCTCTGTCTCCATACTTGGAAGACTCTGTCTACTCATACTGTTGCACTCTTGCAAATGTCACACACAAACCTTCCTGTTTCTTAAAGATTTACAACGCTCAGCCACTTTCCGTTCGGTGATTCCAACATCACAGATTCACTTGCCAGCACGGGAAAACTGTCCCAATTTTCCCAGTAAAATATGTCTTGATCAACAATACTGACCCAATCAATACCAACCATTTCACTTTGGACACCATGTTGTGGCATTTATTCCCCCAAAACCAGTCCAGGTTTTACCAGTCTGTAGGGAAAATCGCCTTTAATACCTAAACTTAAATCTTTGCCTTAGCCCTTGAGTTTGACAAGTAATCCAAAGTAATCCAAAGCTCAGGGGTATAGGGTCGTTTGGCAGAACTATGCCAATGATTGGTAATTGATGGGTGACTTTGTTGACTGACTGGACAACAAACATGAATGGAACAACAAGAATTATTGGCAAGATTTAAGGGGAACTGCTTTGGTACTCTTCTCTTCAGTTCTCAATGCTTACTTTATTTACACAAATCTACACTCTATACTCTGAGTGCTGTCTATAAGTTTTGGGGTGACTTCAGGGCCCGTCGTCAAGGGGGGGCCCGAGGGGGCAGCCCCCCAGACAGGAAGCTGGTTCCCCATTGGTAAAAAGAATCATCTTTAAACATTATGTTGTGTTCTTGTAATGTGGCCCTGTCCCCCCAGCTGATACTGTGGCCCCCTTTAATGCCTGAAGCACCACCAGGCTGATTACTTCCCTGAGATCACCCAAATATCAGATTGCAAATGTCTGCTCTGTTTCTCATAACAGGTACCAGTGCCTTAAGGCAAGCACCGTTTCTCCCTCTGCCTAGTCTCTCAGGGCCTTAATAACGGTGACCTGTGGACAGAACTTGGCAACCTATCTCTTAACTTTAGCCACACAGTCTTTCTCAGAATATGTTCTGCTGTCATTCCTTCCTAACTGATTCTACGAAAGCACACAATTAACTACTACAGTCAACCTTTGCGGATTGCAATTAGCTAATGCTGTTTCATCTACACAACTGATCACTTAAAGTCACTAAACTGTACCCAATACACATGCAAGTGCACAAGCACACAGCATTACAGTGGCTGAACTTCCACAGTGGCGCGCGCACACACAGGTGTTTGTTTCAACACTGCATTAAGTTCAAAACCAGACTCCCAATTAATCTAGCCTAGCGCTACGGTACTTGCACAGCATGGCACATGCTTCGACAAAACATAAACTCAACAGACCTGCACTGCTGTTTACAACATTATTAAAAACGAGGGTTATTACACACATTATTACAATGATGCTCAGGCACCAAGATCTTGTGCATACTCTGCTCCCTTTACAATTGTTTACATTACTTAAATTTACACTTAGTGTTAAGTGTCCCAGGTGAGCTTATGAACTAAGTCACAAGCTTATATTCTGGTGGGACTCAAACCCACAACCTCCTGCTTACTAGAGCAGATGTCTTACCATTCAGACCACCAAGCTTGCCAGGGTCAACTGGCCAACAGGAATCCCATTTGAAGTGAGTGCCTCTGCAACTAGCTATGAATTATTCGTATTTGGTTAAGACTTTTAACGTGGTTATAAATAGACATATGGAAACGGGGAGAAAAAGAAAAGACAGTAAAGATCAAAGATTTTAGCAGATTAAAACTTTCTCTGACACTAACCAACTGGTTTGGTTCGGCAAACTTTTTTTTTCCCTGCTGCTTGCGCAGCTACATGTACAAGCAGCTGCAGTTCCTGAATTTTTCCTGGAGCGGGTTATGTTGAACTTTCCTTGAATGGAAAATCACAGGGCCAAGACAACACCTGCAAGGACAATTAATGCAATTGTTTAGTTTTGCCCCTTTGTCTAGCTGGCAACCAAATCTCTTGAGTAAATAAAAAAGGTTTAACTGGCACAAAAACAACTATTCCCCCACAGCTGTAGGCCTATACGTGTAGTTAGCAGCTCTTGATTGGAGCCATATGGTTCTCGGAAATGAGGCGTTGATATTGATGACTGGGTGATAGTGCTGGCAGCTTTTGGCTCTTCTAAAATGAATTAACTCAACTATTGATGGCCATGAATTACTGAAGCTCAAGGCAGAGAACATGACGTCAATGAGTACCTTGACTTGCATGGTGGGTAATTCCTTTTAGGGCATTCAACACCTTACAAATTAAATGTGCACACGTACACATTGGCTACATCATTTCTGTCTTTTGGGAGAAATATGTAGGATAGGAGATCATTTTGCAACTGTGTCTCTTTTGTCAGATCTCTTGAGAACAATGACCTCGTCAGAATTGAACACCTGGAAGATATAAATGTATTTGGGTGATGGGAATTTGATAAACAAGTCAGAGCTCAAAGATAATTTTAAAGGTTTGATACGTAGTGGTTGGATGAATGGGGGGAGCCTCATACTTAGGCAAGGTCTACCATAATGCCAATAGAGTTATACGTAGGTAGAGTTTGTGAGACCAATGAAGCTATGGTTGAATTTCTCACTTTTTTCTTCAACTTTTCAACTCAACAGATTTTTCCATGGTAATAAAATAGGAGATTGCTTGCAAAGTTCTTTTTTCCTTGTTTTGTTCAATTTTTACTGTTTTGGTTTGTTTTAAGGATTCCAGATGCTTGTACTTTATTGTCTTAAGTTTGAGGTCTGTTTTGAGTTTCTTACACTTACCAGTATTTAAAAATAAAAAAATGGTCATGATGTTAGTATGGGTAACCATGGCTGCAGTGATCTGGCCACAAATTTTAAGAGCTTGCTGTGGGTAATAAAAGGGAGCAATTTTGACTTCACCTTCCTGTGGCCTTGGTCACTGTTTACATCATTGAAAGTTCTAAAGTCTCTGAAGGATTGCTCAATCTAAACAAACTCTGAACAGGGATTTTTCTTTTGCTGAAATGTGCATCTTAAGTTCTACTAGGAGATCCATCATGCCACTTCCAGTTAATTTTTTTGGTCAGAAAGCATTCCTTGTAAAGAGCCATTCTTGTGTGTTGATGAAAGAGAAGATGATGGCCTTGGAGCCCAGATCCAAGGAATTGAAGGATGGAGGATAGTTGGAACAGCTTAGAGATAATTGGATGGATCTGCTTGAAGACCTTCTTTGGCATGCTTTGCAGGATGCATTCTGATTGGTTTGCGAGTGACAGGTGAAATGTTAGTGATTCACACCCACCACCAACAGGGCATTCAGCAAAAAATAGAACAATAAAATCCAAGGCCTAATACCAGAATCATAATGTGCATAGAAAGGAATATCCAGAAAAGTCAAAATCAAATATTGCCACAGTTCATAGCAAATAGCATTACTGGTAAAATTTGCCGTGCATTGCACTTCCAATCAAACAGGTAACTAAATGTTCATGAGTTGTAAGAGAACTGCATCTTATGCGTTTTACTGAAGAAAGACGGTGTTTGCGGTGTTTATGTGGCATTACTGGAAAATACGAAGGGGTGATATTCTTAAGGTATGATCTCAAATTTAAATAAGTTAACTTGTTCTTATTATGAGAAAAAAGTGAGATTAGAAGTTGCGTTCTAGAAAAAAAGAACTGAACAAGTTTCTTTGTCATATATGTTGAGTGGCTGTTTTCCCTATCTCTTTTCAGATGAGTGAATTTGGCTAATTT